GATTATCATTCATCCAAAGAGGGAGACATCAGTGAAGCGTTTGGCAAGAAATACAAAGAGAAGAGTTTTTATGATAACAGTAAATATGATTTGATTAAAAGTAAAGACACATTGAATACAATACTCGGGAAGTGTTTAAACATAAAGTCTTTGTATTTAAGAGAAGTTATAATTAATGATCACATATTATCCATGCTTATCACTCGATGTCCACAATTGAAACGCTTGTATTTGTCTGGTATTTACGCCATTGGATCAAACAAAGAAGTAACCAACGCATGGAAGCCATTATTATCTCAATTGTCTCATTTGACTCTTGACAACCCGATTGACGGAAATATCCTAAAACTTTTGCCACAATTATCATCACTTGAATCGATTGAAATGAATGACTTGTATACTAATAATAAATATACTCGCGATATGTTTAAGTGTTTGCCACAAAATATTCGTTGTCTTAAAGCGAGAGATATGCTTAGAAAGGGTTTGGATTCATTGGATGTACTGATGAGGAGATGTCCGCATTTAGAAGAACTCACTATCAATGAAGAATGTGGAACTAAGTATAGCCGACATTTCAAGCAAAAGTTTCCCGAAATTTGCGCTCATTTTGAACTCAAGAGTTTTGACTTCGCTGTAGACCTGTTGCCCACTCATGTCTTCATCGACAACATCTCAAAACTCAATCAATTGAGACGTTTATACGTGAATTCAAACTTTGATTTCGACACAAATGCCATGCAATCGATGCCTTCACTCAAAACATTGTCTTTATATGGAGTGAAGTGTTGGCCCCAAGGGTTCACTAAAATGAGAGAAATCTATCCAAATGTAAAGCATTTACGTCTGAATGACATTCAATTGCTTTGCGATTGCAGTGAAGATAATGAAGACATGGAAGAAGACGAATATTGTATCGCATGTACACATCAGTGCATGCAATTTGTGTCACAATTACCACAACTCAAGCGATTGACTCTTGATTTTGAATATTATGGGATTCCCATTGTATGCAATGATCTCAAACTGTTCACTCAACTCAACTTCTTGTATTTGCATGGCTTTAATGGTGGCATTCGTGCGGAGGAATTGTTTGACATTGTATTACATTGTATTGAAAACACGTATTCCAAGAAGTATTTCAAACTCAAAGTGGATCCAGTGATGGAAGAAGACTTACTCCAGAGTTTGAATGATTTGAATATAACTATTCCTAAGAACTTTGTCATCGATTTTCATAGACATTGTCTTCAATTTAAATAATATTTCACACAAAATGTAATACAAGTTTTAATTTGTTTGCTTTTAGGGCTAATAAATAACGAACTATTATTTGGATCCAAATCAATAAAACTAAAAGCCATACAAAATATTGTTCACATTTATTTAATTGATAGCATTTTATTGTCTTTGTTTTAAATCATTTTATTTCATAATTATATCAATGGTTGTGAATAAATGCTGTGAAATAGTTATAAGTTTGTTATTTGCATAATTTGTTTGTAAAATAACTTTTATATTGAAATTAATAAAACAAATACAATATAATTGAATTATAAATCCATTATTTGAATACTTATTGCATTTACATGTTATGTATAGAATTTATTGAGTAATTCATTAACAATATTACAAAAAGTTTTAAACTAAATTAAAAATTTTAACAATGGTTTGAAAAGTTTTTAAATTATCTTTTGCCTGAGAGTCGCTAACAAATCGTTTGGCAATACATGTGTTAATTGTATGCAATGTTTGTGACAAAAATGTAAACTAAATTAACATTAATTTTCAATTCAATTATACATTCATTTCATAATTCAATGCATTCATCAAAATTTTTAATTTCTGTATATCTCCAATAGATGTTCACAAAGTGTGTTACAAATTAGCAAAATATTACTCCCCTTAAGTTGCCTCTCATAGCAATACAATGAGAATAACGCTCCGACACTAACCCCCACTCCGTAACCATTAAACTAAATAAAGTTTTATTAATATTTCATTGAATGAATTCATTCACTGTTTTTGTCATTTGTTTTGAATTTCAAACTTTGAAATCTCTTCAAAAGGGAATCGATTATCGATTTGAACCACAGTTTCATCGAATCGTTGCAAATATAAAATCATTTGTGAACTAAAACGTGATTTACATTCATTTGAATTACAGTCGAAGTAATCATTCAATTAATCCATTCATTCAATGCCTGGCTTTGATTGCAATCGTTTTGTGGATCTGTTGGCCATCGAGTCGTTGTCTGTTTTGGCCGACAGTTTCAAGTGTGGTATTTGTGTGGAAGTGTTGGACAAAGCGGTGGACACTCGATGTGGACATACCTTCTGTCACGAGTGTCTCAATCAATGGCTCTCAAGACCGCAGACCACCAAAGAGTGTCCCGAATGTCGACAACTGTTGGCCACAAGAAAGCGGTCCCGAAGTCAAGCAATCAGTAATAATGAGGTCATAATCGGAGGCAATGTTTTGGTGGATAAGAATCGACGCATAAATGAAATGATCGGTAAATTGAGGATTAGATGTGATTACGAGTGGAACGGATGTCCAGAAGTGTGTCCATTGGAGTCGTTGTCCACTCATCTCAAGACATGTCAACACAAATTGTGTCAAACATGTGATCTATCTTTGGGTCCGATAAGTGATGACCACAACTGTATTCAAGACATGAAGAGAGACCGAAATGAATTGACACAAAGAGCCAAAGAATTGGAGACAAAATTAAAGGTATCCGAAGAAAAGGCATTAAATTTTGAGTCAAAATACAAACAAACGGATGGTTTGTATAAAGAAATGGTTCAGAAATATCGGGATTTGAAGACATCTCTGAATACACCAGAAGTTGGCGTAGAATTAGTGATTAATTTGCAAATAATTCCCAAACATTTACTGTTTGGCAAATGTGTGATAAATGTGACGTCCATTCAATTCACTGAATATAGCATTGATTTCAATAATGTTGTGCCAAATGGTAGTCAAATTGAAAGCATTGACAGAATCAAAATTCCTTACAGTTATATCCATTGTCTGTACGCGTGTGTCAACCCCTCACTGCCTATGCTTTGCATTAAATCAAGAGATTTGCCCTATTATTATGTCAACCACAAGTTTCATCTTCTCACTAATAGTTTTATCAATAAATGTCACTTTAATATCAATTCAAACGGTTTGTTATCATTACTATTATGTTCCCATTTGTATTTTAATTGCATTATTATAATTATATTACCTCTTAATATCAGATCCGAGCGAACACTTCATTATCATTGAATTGAATGAAGCGATGAAAGAGATATTTGTGTCGCAATTGCGAAAGAAATGTCTTAATAATCGTGAGTTTGAATTCAAGACGATTAACTCAAAGACCGCACAACACATGCTATCGAGAGCTAAGAATCCAGTAATTGCTTTGACAAAATCTTAAACATTTTGTAAATTTTTAAAACCACTTTCATTTTGTTATTTATTCTAAAATTTGTATTAAATATTTTTTGAATTACTGTTTACTGAAAAATTAATGTTTTTAACACTATTAATACTTTTGGTAATTATACAAAACTATTTTTCTTTTTAGAAATTATAACATTTTCGTTAATTAAAACATAAATTTAAACTCTGTTTAATTAAAAATTTAGTTAAGAATTCTATTATAACTCATGAATACATAAAATTTCATATAAAGTACTTAATTTTTAAATGATTTTCAACTGAATATTTGCGAAGGATTTTGACTTTTAATTTCATATCTTTAAAAATATCATACCGTACAATCTATTCATTAATTACTAAATTCTATTTAAAATAAAATAAAACTTTTAAAATCTAACATCATTTATAAGACTAATTTATTTTATAATTATATCGTTTGTAATAAATGCTATTTTCCATAATTTGTTTGTAAAAGAATTTTTATATTAAAGTGGACTAAATCTATTATATAAATATATCCTTGCAAAATCGACTAATCTGATTGGCTATTGCCGTCTCATCCCCCACTTTTTGGGGAAATGGGTGTAACTATTTTTGAAGCTATTGCCTACCGATACATCGATTGTGTTTGAAAGCATGTATTCAATACATTTACACGCAATGCATTCAATACATGCTATTTGAGAGACCGTTTGCGGTGTGAATGGAGTGAATGGTTTGTTTACTAGTTTTTGATAAATAAAATTACACTCATTTTTAATAATAGATTTTTATTGAAAATAAATTAATGGAAAAAAATAAAACAAAATATTGTATAATTCGGACATAAATTGTGAATTAGTGGTAAACCTAGACTCCAATGAAATCTGAGACAACCATATGATAGAACTGAGCCATCGATGGCTTGTTTAAGAATAGATAGTCGAGGAATGGCTGATATTCCTCTTCATTGGACAACATTCTGATGGCGTTATATATAAATAATCCGTTGAGACAATAGTATGGCTTCCCTTCGCTTAAGGGATACTCGAGAAGAATGTTCACAAAGTTTGCGATACGAAGACAGGCCTTGAATTGTGAGAAATAGTGGACAAATCGTGGCTTAAATGTCTCGAAATCCCCTTCAGTCGGAGCGTCGCACAGATGTGTCCACTTGTCTTCAGAAATCAAGTCTTTGCTTCTGTAGTAAATGGCGCTAAGAGTGAGGCCACCGATGAATGGCTTGCAATCGATTCCCGTAGTATTCTTAGCCATGAATTTAGCGATAATTACGAGAAAACATAAGCTATCGATGAAAGTGTTGCCGTCTTTATAATGTTTGTGCAAATCGGTGGCCATAAGTGACACTTTCATGTGATTTATAAACTCTTCGCTTACGTCTAGGATCGCTAATAATAGGGCACGTCTTCGGCTGACGTCCAACTTTCTAATACCGTATAAATGCGGCAATTCTTGTGAATCGGGAACTGATATCATGGGAGCGATTGAATACTCGCCGCTGTAGAGATCCTTTCGATCCAAAACCACAATCTCTGATGGATTTGTTGTTTCTGTTCTCAAAATGCCGTAAAGAAATCGTCTGAGACTTAGAGTGCAATCATAACAGGACTCGAGTGAGAAGTCTTGGAGTGGAGGACAGAGGATGTGTTGTTTCCATTGGACAACAGCCATGAGCTCCGGACTTATGATTCCTCTTTGATATTCACTGGCAAACCATTTCGGAAGAATGATCTCAACGTCTTCTTTGCCTGAAGTTGTCTTCAAAGTTGTGCACTCGAAGTCCGTCTCGTCGTAGTAGTAGTTCCTGAGAACGGTTTTGCATCCATTGTACTCATAATCTGTCATCAATTGACGAATCCGTGAGATCTGTGTCTTCGGTGTGTATTTCGCCACTGAATCCAACGCTTCTTTCAGACTCTTATTAGCGAACAAATGGACCAAAATATCGAAACAATTGTTATCACGAAAGAGATCCAAATCATCGCTTATTCTCTTGAATTGATTGCAATCAATCAAATGGTTGATCAAAACAGCGCCAATCAATGGCATTAATTCACGCCTTAAACCGTTGTATTTCTTATGCCAATCAAACTTCCGATGAATTGTGGTTTTGAAAAACCAATATTTGCCGCAATTGTTGTAAAATAAATTTTTTTCTCGGAAAGGATTTCCACAAATGATGTCAAAGTCGATGTCGACGAAGAAGTAGGCCTTTGCGGTCGAATAGACGGGACACATGAGTTGGTTGGCCAGCGCTGCCACTTGTGTCCACGTCTGGGAACACGTCTGAATAATTTGGACATTAAATTCGCGCAAAACAGAGACGAAGACATAATTGCAAAGAGTGGACCAATTGAAGCCACAGTTGTAGTCATTTGTGACAATATTTCTGATCTGAAAAATGCTTTCATCGAAACACTTATGATATTTGTCGACATCAATGGATCCGTCGAAGACAACGATTGGCACAATTTGACACGTGTTTAGCATTTCTAAGAATGATTTGATTGTCTTCTCAAATGCAGTATAATTTGATCCATATTTGCCATACATTTTATTCTTCCCATAACTTTGTTGACAATAACGACGGAAGAGTTGGCTTTGGATGCGATTGCCATCAAATATAACTTTGGTTTTGCATAACTCTATCCTTTGTTTTAAGCATTTTAATGATTTAGTGTACTCTTTGAGTGACATCTTTATTATCTTAATAATTGGATTACTTTAATGTTTGTTTGATTTATAACTGTTTATAAATAAATTTAAAGTTAATTAAATTAGTTTTAACGAGAATTTATATAATTATTAATTATTGTTACAATTAAATAAAAAATAATGTGTAAAATCTAGTTAACATAACAATTATACGGAAGTATTGTATTATCAATAACTAAATTGTATTCAAAATGCAATAAAACTTTATTTCGTCTCAAACTTGACGTCATTTATACCACGTTTTCATTGAATGGTTTAAACTTTAAAACATAAACGAAACGATTTGTGGATAAAAAGTGATTCAAAAACACATGTTTTTATTTTCTATTGATTTCAAACACAATTAAAATCAATTATCCATTCATTCAATGCCTGGCTTTGATTGCAATCGATTCACAGATTTATCTGTCGTTGAGTCTCTGTCTTTGGAGGACATAATAAAGTGTGGTATTTGTCTACAAGTGTTGGACAAAGCGGTGGACACTCGATGTGGACATACCTTCTGTCACGAGTGTCTCAATCAATGGCTCTCAAGACCGCAGACCACCAAAGAGTGTCCCGAATGTCGACAACCGTTGGCCTCAAGAAAGCGGTCCCGAAGTCAGACCATAGGAGACAATAGTTTGGTAATCGGAGGCAATGTTTTGGTGGAGAAAAATCGGCGCATAAATGAAATGATCGGGAAATTGAAGATCAGATGTGATTACGAGTGGAACGGATGTCCAGAAGTGTGTCCATTGGAGTCGTTGTCCACTCATCTCAAGACATGTCAACACAAATTGTGTCAAACATGTGGTCTATCTGTGAATCCCATAAGTGATGACCACAACTGTATTGAAGACATGAAGAGAGACCGAAATGAATGGCAAAAGAAGTGCAATGAATGGACACAAAGAGCTCAAGAATTGGAGACAGAAGTGAAAGATTTTGAAGAAAAATCAATGGATTTTGAGTTGAAATACAAGACAAACACAAATAAATGGCAAAAGAAATGCAATTCATTGACACAAAAGACCAAAGAATTGGAGATAAAACTAAAGGTTTCTGAGGAAATGGCATTGGATTTGGAGTCTAAATATAAACAAACGAAGAGTTTATATAAATACAAAGTTTTGGAGACTTCACTGAATGCAACACAAGTTGGCGTAAAACTAGTGATTCGTTTGCAAATAATTCCCAAATGTTTACTGTTTGGCAAATGTGTCACAAATGTCGGGTCCATTGATTTCGACGAATATAACATTCATTTCTTTAATGTTGTGCCGAATGGCAGTCGAATTAAAAGCATTGAAAGAATTCATATGTCGTATAATGACATCCATTGTCTGTATGTGTGTATCGATCCGTCACTACCAATGATTTGTATTAAAACAAGTGATCCGTTGTACTATGTTGTCAACAAAAAGCTGATTTATCTTAGCGATAGTGTTATCACTAAATGGCAATTTAATATCAATTCAAAAGGTTTTTTATTATTGCTATTGTGTATCCATTTGTATATTAATTGAATTATAATTATTGCATTATATCTTAATATCAGATCCGAGCGAACACTTGATTATCATTGAATTGAATGAAGCGATGAAAGAGATATTTCTGTTTCAATTGCGAAAGAAATGCTGTAATAATCGTAAGTTTGAATACAAGACAATTGACTCAAAGACCGCACAACACATGCTATCGAGAGCTAAGATTCCAATAATTGAATCGACAAAATCTTAAACATTTTATAAATTTTTAAAAACCACTTTCTTTTAGTTATTCTAAAATTTGTATTAAATATTTTGTGAATTACTATTTACTGAAAAATTAATGTTTTAAACACGATCTATAAGTTTGATAATTATTTAAAACTACTTTTCTTTTTAGAAATTATAACATTTTTGTTAACATTAATTCAAACTATTTATTAAAAATTTAGTTAATATTTCTATTATTACTCACTAATACATCAAATTTAATATAAATTAATTAATTTCTAAATAATTACAACTGAATATCTGCAAAATTGAATTTGTCTTTTATTTATGTCATTCATAACTATAAATATCATACAATCTATTTATTAATTACTAAATTGTATTCAAAATGTAATAAAACTTTTAAAATCTAACATCACTTATAAGACTAATTTATTGAACGGCAAAAACAATGAAAACTAGTATTGAATTTTGAAAACCAATTATAATAAATATTTGTAATTTAGTTTTGGTGTAAATATTTAGATTAAAATAAAACCAATTTAAATCGATATTTATTTAATTAGACCATCATCATAGTTATAACTTATAACTTATAAGGGTATACAATATAGCAATTAATTCAAATCTCGCAAATGCATGTCTTATATTATTATTGTTAATCAAAAGAGTATTTGGTTTGAAAATAATAAATAAACGTTTAATTGAATTATAATTTGATAATTATTTTTATATAAAGTGTTTCTGTGTTTTTAAGTCAAACAAATCGATCGCATATAATATTAAACTCAATTTGTGTGCAAACAATGTCTCCAAAGAGACCACAAAACCAAATGAATGGAAAGGAAGACAAGAAATTGAATCGAGGCGTCGATGTCTCGGGTGTTCACAAATTGGTTCCCAATTTTGATTCACCGTTTGATGAATCAAATGAATGTCAGTTAACCGACGGCTCGACACCGAAGAAGGAGACAAAGAAGAAGAAAAAGTGGGGATTCAATGGATTCAAGAATCTCTTCAAACAGAAGAAGAACCCAAACGGCGGACAAATAACTGGCGATGAAGTGGAAGACCGAAGAATATTCGTCGAAGACTTGCGAACCAAAGACAATATGAACGACAGGTTTCACGACATTCCCAGCGATGATCACTACCCGGAAGTGTCTTCCCTGTCATCGGTGGCCGACAATAGTGTTTCGTCCGAGAATTCAATTGGTTTAAGACAAGCGACCACTTATTTGGAGAACAACTCAGACGACGAAGAGTTGTCCGAAGACTTGGAAGCGATGGACGACCGGAGGAATGAGATCCGATCCCTCGACGTCCTCATCAAACAACTCAACGCAAATAAATCGTCCGAATAGTTGTCTAAATTGTAGTCTATTTTAAACATTGATTTTTCAAATTTTTTGTGATGTTTTCTTTCATTCAATGCATTTGTGTTTAAATAAATTTTTTATAAATTTGTTTCTTTTAAATTCATTATTAAATTTACAATTTAATGAAATTTTGATTTTTAATGTCTAACAAACGGAACCAATAATTGTCTAATTGTGTTAACAGACTGTTAAATAAATATAAGTCCTAAACACTAACCATTGAATGAGACTTTTTATTTAACTAACAATTGAATGGCGCGTGAAATACATATAATTATTTAGAAAATCAATAAATCATTGTTTGAATGTTTAAACAAAACAATTCTAATTCAGTTTCAATTGTATTGATTAACAAAAACTACTAATTTCTGTATTCAAACCCAAACTGTGAACAAAAGTGTTGACCAAAGTTTCGGTACAAACAGAATGAGTGCCCGAAATGTTTCGGTCAATACATCGCTCATATCGGCGCCGGATATCCAATGGAAAGGTTTGAAGAGTAAAACCATTAGGTATTTAACAGATTTGATCGACACTTACGGCACCAGTATTTTGCACACATCCGATGACATCGGCTTCTATCCCATCCATTGGGCTGTTTTGAGTGGTAATTATCTCATCCTTTCATTGCATACAAAACACATGAATGTCTTGTTTTACTTGCACTCAGGAAAGCACGAAATGGTGGACCTAATGATCAGAGCGGGTGTTTCGCCGCGACTCAAGGCCCGCAACTCCAGCGAACCCGAGCCCATACATGTGGCGGCCATTGAGGGTCACCTTCAGGTCATAGATGTGTTGCTCACTCACGGCGTCAACATTGATGTCAAAGACGGGTAATTCACGATTTGGTTGTAATTTATTTAATAATAACACCATTGATATGCCTTCGGATCAGATGCGGCTGTACTCCATTCATGAGGGCCGCTATGTATGGCTATAACATGCGGATCAAGTGCTCGGAGACAATACTGCATTTGGTGGTGAATGGGGCGGACTTACAGCAGATCGACGGCAACGGATGGACGTGTCTTCACTACGCCATCAATGGTCATAACGACGAAGCCGTTCATCTGTTGCTGACATTAGGTCTAAACCCGAATCAGTTCACGGGTAACGGCTGTCGAGCCATACATTTCGCCCGTCAGAGCGGCAGTGAATACCTGATGAGACTTTTGGGTCCTTTGACTGAAGACCTGACGGAACAGGAATTGGAGTCAATGGTCGTCCAAAACAAGAGGAGTCGGAGCTATGATATGATGGCACAAATGCTGACACTATTGGCCAGAGTTGTGGTGCTGTTCGCCATATTCAGTGCCATAATGTGGGCGTATCCGCAATATATCATCTATTATTTGCCAAACAGTAACCGATATGTGTTGAACGTAGCGCTGATCGCGG